GACTGGCCATCGGTCTGAGGGTGAAATGCCGTACTAAGGTTCAAAGCTGTGCCAAAAGCCTTCTGAAGTCCTCTCCAGAACTTCGAAGTGAACCGGGGATCTCTATCAGATATGATTGACAGTGGTGCACCGTGCAACCGAACTATCTCTCTAACGTATAAGTCTGCCAATTTGTCCAAGGAAGAGTCACGTCTGACGGGTAGAAAATGAGCGGACTTTGTCAACCTGTCAACAATGACCCAGATGGCGTCATTCTTTCGTGAAGATCGTGGCAATCCTATCACAAAGTCCATAGTGATCCTTTCCCACTTCCATTTCGGAATGGTAGGAGGGTGCAGCAACCCTGTCGGAACCTGGTGCTCAGCCTTGACTTGCTGACAAGTCAAACAGCGCGCAGTGAACTCGGAGATTTCCTTTTTCATAGCTGGCCACCAATAGGATTTCTTCAAATCCTGATACATCTTGTTACTACCCAGGTGCATAGTGTATACGGTTCCGTGAGCCTCACGTAACAAGCGATCCCTCACTTCACCGCGGGGCACCACTAGGCGTTCACGATAGTACAAGACTCCGTCATCGCGAATTGCAAACTCGGGCCTCTTTCCTGTAGGAACTAACTCTCGAGTCTTCTGACAAAACTCATCACCTCTCTGTGCTGTACGGATCTCCTGCTCTAACGGGGACTGAAGCTGTAGCTCGGGTAACGATTTTCTGCTCAAAGCATCGGCCACGATGTTAGCCTTGCCCGGGTGATACTCAATGACTAAATCGTAATCCTTGATCAGCTCCAACCATCGGCATTGTCTAAGATTCAGCTCCTTCTGGGTGAGTAGGTACCTCAAACCCTTGTGGTCGGTGAAGATGTGAATCCTCTCTCCAAAGATGTAGTGGCGCCAAATCTTCAAGGCGAACACCACGGCTGCCAACTCTAAATCATGTGTCGGGTAGTTCTCCTCGTGAGTCTTCAACTGTCTCGATGCGTAGGCCACTACCTTACTCAACTGCATCAGTACACATGTAACACCCCAACCCGCATGACCCAAACCCGTGAGACAGCGGACCGGTGTGCCACTAAATTGGTATTCGAATTTGCGACATTTTCAAAACAATTTTAAACAAACGTTCTTTCAATACATATGAAAATCCATCGGAGTAATTTAAAATAATGCGGAAGCCTTTTTAAAGTCAAACAACTTGGGATCTTGCCCGAAAACGTAATAAGCATTAAAGTTAATTAAATAAAGCATAATCAACAGATTAAAGAGACAGCCACGCCATCGTACATCTCCTCCTCAATGCCCTCTGGGATCGGCTCTAGGTTCATCTGTCTGATCACCTACGGACAGCAAAAGAAAACAACGCTATCCGCTCAGCATTGACGCTGAGTGGTACTCCATTGTAGCACAAGAATAAACATAATAATTCAACAATTAAGATCGTGCATAAGTTTATCCTTTTAATAAAAATCAATTCAACTTAACATTCGGTTCTTTAGACGGTTGACCAATAGTCAACTTATTTTCTTTCTTTTCAAAACGATTTAGGTGTTACGGGTTTCCCATGACTCTTTGACCACCGGTCAAACCAATTTAGACT